AAGACAGTCAGTTACCTACAAGGGAGTACCCATACGACTGTCAGCTGATTTCTCAACAGAAACCATGCAGGCCAGAAGAGACTGGCAAGAAATATTCAAAGTGATGAATAGCAAGAACCTGCAACCAAGATTACTTTATCCAGCAAAGCCATCATTCAGAATAGATGGTCAGATAAAGAGCTTCACGGATAAGAAAAAGCTAAAGGAGTTCATCACCACCAAACCAGCATTATATGAAATGCTGAAAGGTATTCTTTAAGAAGAGGAAGAAGAAAAAGGAACTCTTACCACTTGCCACAGCAGGGATGGAACTGGAGAGCGGATAAATACCACAGGATCTCACTCATTTGTGGAATATAATGAACAACATAAGCTGATGAACAAGGACTGATCCAGAGACGGAGAGGCATTGATTGGACTGTCGGGACTTGGAGGGAAGGTAGGGGAGGGTGGGGGTAAGGGGGAAAGATCAACCAAAGGACTTATATGCAAGCATATAGGCCTAATCAATGGACATGGACAACGGGGGGGTGAGGGCATGAGCGGGGGTGGGGGGGGGTGGGGGGTAGAGGGTAACGTGGGGACAAGGACACATATGTAATATCTTAATCAATAAAAAAAAAAAAAAAAAATCATTGATTGGCTGCCTCCCTCATATCCTCTACTTGGGATGGAGCCCTGAACCCAGGCATGTGCCCTGACCGGGAATCTAACCATGACCTCTTAGTTTATAGGATGACACTCAACCACTGAACCACATCGACCAGGCTATTGAGCTGATTTTGGCAACTTATACATATATACACTGAGTGGCCAGATTATTATGACCACCTTACATTTGTAGGCAAATTAGCTATAATTTCGCACTGAAGTTGCTAGAGGATCAGACTATTATAAATAGGGAAGCAGGTTGTTTACCATGACAGGAGCGATTTTTCTGAAGATATGGGTAAACAATGCAATTTAACAGCCTTTGAACATGGATATATTTGAACATGAGTGGCCAGATTATTATGACCATCTGATGTTTGTAGGCAAATTAGCCATACACTGCACTGTATGGGATATGGAAGCCAAAGGCCTGTTCAAACACCTTTGCTGTCTACAGTTACCAAGATAAAATGTCTCCAATTCGCACAGGAACACAAGAATTGGACAGTTGAGCATTGGAAAAAAGTCATGTGGTCCGATGAATCACATTTCCAGTTGCATCATGCAGATGGCAGAGTGAGAATTGGGCAGAAACAGCATGAAAGCATGCACCCCACATAGTAAAATCAATTGATGCAGAAAAGGCATTTGACAAAATCCAACACCCTTTGTTGATAAAAACTCTCAGCAAGGTCGGAATAGAAGGATTATACCTTAACATAATAAAAGCCATATATGACAAACCCACAGCCAACATTATACTCAATGGGCAAAAATTAAAACCATTTCCCCTAAGAACAGGAACAAGACAGGGATGCCCACTCCCACCACTCCTGTTCGACATAGTACTGGAAGTACTAGCCATTGCAATTAGACAAGAAGAAATAAAAAGCCATCCAAATTGGAAAAGAAGTAAAACTATCCTATTCGCAGATGACATGATACTGTACACAGAAAACCCTAAAGACTACATCAAAAAATTATTAGACTTTTAATATATGAATTCGGCAATGTAGCAGGATACAAAATTAACTCCATGAAATCTATGGCATTTCTATACACCAATAGTGAACTTACAGAAAGAGAGACTAAAAAAGTAATCCCATTTACCATCACACCAAAAAAATTAAGATACCTAGGAATAAACTTAACTAAGGAGGTAAAAGACCTGTACTTGGAAAACTACAGGACACTGAAAAAAGAGATAGGACATAAACAGATATAAGAACATACTGTGTTCATGGATTGGTAGAATCAACATCATTAAAATGTCCATACTTGCTGAAGCCGGTTTGGCTCAGTGGATGGAGCATCGGCCTGCGGACTGAGGGGTCCCGGGTTCGATTCCAGTCAAGGGCATGTACCTGGGTTGCGGGCACATCCCCGGTGGGGGATGTGCAGGAGGCGGCTGATCAATGTTTCTCTCTCATTGATGTTTCTGATTCTCTATCTCTCTCCCTTCTTCTCTGTAAAAAAATCAATAAAATATATTTTAAAAAAAAAAAAATGTCCATACTACCCAAAGCAATCTATACATTCAATGCACTCCCCATTAAAATACCAACGGCATATTTTACAGACTTAGAACGAACTCTCCAAAAATTCATCTGGAATAAAAATTAAAAAAAAAAAGACCCCGAATAGCTGCAGCAATCCTGAGAAAGATCAAAGTAGGTGGGATCTCAATACCAGATATCAAGCTGTATTACAAAACCACTGTTCTCAAAACAGCCTGTTGCTGGCACAAGAACAGACATATAGATCAATGGAATAGAATAAAGAACCCAGAAATTGACCCAAACCACTATGCTTAATTAATATTTGACAAAGGAGACATGAACATACAATTTTGTCAAGACAGTCTCTTCAATAAATGGTGTTGGGAAAATTAGACAGATACATGCAAAAAAAAAAAGAAAGAAAGAAAGAAAGAAAGAAAGAAACTAGACCACCAACTTACACCATACACAAAAATAAACTCAAAATGGATAAAGGACTTAAACATAAGATGGGAAACCATAAAAATACTAGAGGAATCCACAGGCAGCAAAATCTCAGACATATGTCAAAGCAATTTCTTCACTGATACAGCTCCTAGGGCAATGGAAACTAAAGAGAAAATAAACAAATGGGACTACATCAAAATAAAAAGCTTCTGCACAGCAAAAGAAACTATCAACAAAACAACAAGAAAGCCCACTGCATGGGAGAACATATTTGCAAATATTATCACTGATAAGGCTTTAATCTCCAACATTTACAACTTAACAAAAGGAAGATAAACAATCCAATCAAAAAATGGGCTACAGACCTAAATAGGTACTTTTCAAAAGAAGACATATGGAAGGCCAAGAGACATATGAAAACATGCTCAAAGTCACTAATCATCTGAGAGATGCAAATCAAAATGACAATGAGGTACCACCTCACACCTGTCAGAATGGCTATCATCAACAAATCAACAAACAACAAGTGCTGGAGAGGATGCGGAGAAAAAGAAACCCTTGTGCACTGCTGGTGAAAATGCAGACCGGTGCAGTCACTGTGGAGAACAGTACGGAGTTTCCTCATGAAACTAAAAATGGAACTCCCATTTGACCCAGTGATTCCACTTCTAGGAATATATCCCAAGAAACAGAAACACCAAACAGAAAGGATATATGCACCTCTATGTTCATAGCGACACAATGCACCATAGCTAAGATTTGGAAACAGCCTAAGTGTCCATTAGCAAATGTGTGGATTAAAAAACTGTGGTACATCTACACAATGGAATACTATGCTGCGGTAAAAAAGAAGGAATTCTTACCATTTGCAACAGCATGGATGGAACTGGAGAGTATTATGCTAAGCGAAATAAGCCAGTCAGAGAAAGATAAAATATCACATGATGTCACTTGTTTGTGGAATATAATGAACATAAACTGATGAACAAAAACAGATCCAGAGTCAGAGAAGCATCAGTCAGACCATCAAACCTCAAAGGGGAGGTAGGGAAGGGTGGGGGTAAGGGGGAGAGATCAACCAAAGGACTTGTATGAATGCATATAAGCCTAACCAATGGACACAGACAACAGGGGGGTGAGGGCATGAGAGGGGAGTGGGGAGGCAATGGGGCGATAAGGACCCATATGTAATACCTTAACCAACAAAAAAAATATATATTTTGAATAAATAAATAGTACCCAGCAAATCATCAAGTCCACATGGGTGTTTGTTTAATAAATAGTTTTTGCAACAACAACAACAACAAAACAAAAAAACACCTAAAAATAAACAATTCCCCTATCTAGTAAGGGTTATCTTCCTAAATTAAAAATATTAAAATGTAGCCCAACCAGTGTTGCTCAGTGGTTGAGCAGCGTCCCATGAGGTCACAGATGGATTCCTAGTCAGTCAAGGCACATGCCCACGTCACAGACTCAATTCCCAGAAGGGGCATACAGGAGGCAGCCAATCAATGATTCTCTCTCATCATTGATGTTTCTATCCCTCTCTCCCTCTCCCTTCCATTCTCTGAAATTAATAAAACCATATGTTGATTTTTAAATTAAAGTGTAGAAATGTGCTGAGGGGCAAAAGAAGAGAAAGCAATGGACTGACTTGGAAGTCATTTTATAAATGTACATTACAGTTTCTGTGCCTTTTGGGCAAACCATGTAACCCTCCTGAGCTTCAGTTCTTCAGTTACAGAAAGGAGATAATAGATGCCCTATATACCTCAGAGTCAATGTAGCCATCAAATGAGACCATACAGAAAAAAGTGCTTTGTATATAACTAGTATGATATAAATGTAAAGGAATATTAGTCATTAGATATTTAACTCTTGACCATATATATTTCAATTATTTAAAGTAAAAACAAAATCAGCCCTAGCTGGTTTGGCTCAGTGGACAGAGCATCGGCCTGGGGACTGAAGGTTCTTCAGTTCGATTCCGGTCAAGGGCACATGCTGTGGTTGTGGGCTAGATCCCCAGTAGGGGGCAGTCTCTCTCTCCCTCTCCCCTCCTCTCTGAAATCAATAAAAATATATAGTAAAAAAAAATTAAATGCACATATCACCATCTAATTTTTATTTTCTAGGTTAATACCATAAATACATCACATTTTTTTAAAACATATTTTATTGATTTTTTACAGAGAGGAAGGAAGAGGGATAGAGAGTTAGAAACATTGATCAGCTGCCTCCTGCAACCCCCCACTGGGGATATGCCCGCAACCAAGGTACATGCCCTTGACCAGAATCGAACCTGGGACCCCCCAGTCCACAGGCCAAGCTCTATTCACTGAGCCAAACCAGTCAGGGCAATACATCACATTTTAACTTAATGTCTAAAGTTATACTCACTACTCCGGTGTAATAGCGTAGTCCAACAACATGGCCTCTCAAAGTTCCAAATAAAACTGAATCTAACTCTTCATCACTAGTTAGGAAGTCGTCTGGAGGGATAATATCTTGGAATTCAAAACGGGGAAAGAAAGTTGGATATGAGAGGCGTGAAAAATTTCCATGGACTCCACCATATTGGGCAGTCTGCAAGTACTTCCAAACAGGATCTCTATTAAAAAAAAAAAAAAAAAAAGGCAGAGGAAAAAACTTTAAATCAAGTATTTTTCAAAGACTGTACCATATTCACAGGCCAATTGTTTTCTCACACTTTATTTCAACAAATTAATTCTTATGTGGGAACTTCTGTATAAGATTAAGAAAGTGTTACTCTAGTTAAAGCAGGATTTGAGTGAGTCGGGAGGTTTCTTCTACCCCCAGATATTCAAAATGAAAAACCCAATAAGGGTTCACAAATCTTTTTCCTAGTGATTATCTATTTAAATTGAAATGTATGTGATGTCTGTAACTTTATATGCTAAAATTTCAATGGAGCTTGAGCTAGAAGAGACTTGCAAATATATAGAACTATTATTATATGTGAAGCAGTTTACATAATTACAGATAACACATTCAGCATCCATTACTTTAATTCCTTCCTTATCTTATTCAGGTATTCAAACCATACCACCATCAGAGGATGACTGACCCAAAGCCTCCCACTCTCGTTGGTTAAGGGTAATTTTAATCCCCTTATAAATAACTGTTTCAGGAACGCGCACGTAAACTAATTTGGATACAGAAAAGTAAGGGGGAAGTCAGCTGGGGGGCTTCCAGGATGTTTCCACTCTCCTAAGACCAGATGGAAGGTGCTTCCCCTGCGTTTTCCTTGCAGGTCGTGCAAACCTCTTTTGGCTCCTCTGCAAATATGTATTTGCACGTCAGTGTATGCACATAAACTGTGAGCTACTTAGGGTCAAGGGCTGTCCTACTTGGCCCTTTATTCCGAGCACAATGCCTAATGCACAGTGGGTTGCTAATGGGTGTTTTGCTGAATAAAGCACAGTAGAGATCCCCGCTAAGGACTGGAGCTTTGAGCCCCAGACCCTTCCAACTCCCCACAGCCCTTGACGGAGATTTTTCCAAGGCCCTGGCACCAGACTCGCCTGAGGAGCCTCCCCTCACCAACCAAGATTACGCGTTTACTTTTCCCGAAGATATATGAGCCACCAGCAAAACATGCGCCCAAATCGCGAGGGAACAGCGAAAGGAACGCGGGAAAGGTCAGGTTCATTTGGGGACACTACCAGGCCGTTACCTCCCTGCGTCCCACTCCCTCCATCCCTTCACCTCTTGAACATCCAGGACATGGCGCAGGGTGGGTGACGAAGGTGACGCTTGGGCGCCCGGGGTCGTTCTCGAGCCGCCTGGATACACCTCCTTGCGGGGCCTGCAGCCAGAAGCCGCCCACACTTTCCGAGCGCCCGAGGAAGGGCGCTCTACGGAGAGCTAAGTTGCCGCGAGCCTAGACGTCGAGCCGTCTCCTCCCAACAACAACCTGGGAAACCGCCGAGGCTTCGTAACTGGCACTGGCAACACTCAATCACGAGGCGGGGCCTACGAAGGCGAACCAATCAGTACGGAAGGGAGGGCAACTCCGCCCAGCTCACGGATTCAAAGACCGTGGGCGGGGTCCCGGCTTCAGCGGGAGTTCATCCGGGTTCTTCCCAACCCGAGGCGGGTGCGCGGGAAAGTCCAGCAACCCCACCTGTCCGAGTGCGGTGCCCGCGGTTCCTTGGACTTCCTGCCTGAAACAGAGGGAGACCACGCTCCTTTTCGCTGTGTTCCCCAAGTCCCAAGCCTCAGCGCCATTCCTCAGGCCTCGCCTCATCCTGCTTCTAACTTCCTCAGCATATTATCTATAATAACTAAGGCGTAATATGGTGATTAGACCGGACGTCCTTCCCAACGAAGCCAGGGCTGCGAGGGAAGCCAGTCCGGGGTACCTGCCGGCGGCCGGAGGGAAGCCCGGGTCGGTTGCCAGGGGGAAGCCAGTGCTGGCAGCGGGGGAAGGAAGGCCTGCTCTCGCAGGAGTTTCCTGCATGGGCCTCTAGTCTATATTAGGGTTTTCCCCTGAATAAACGCCCCGATTTATGAGCGGTGGGGGTACCAGCCAGATAATTTCACTTCCTGCGGTTAACCCTGTGTAGTTGCCTTCAAAATACTCATTTTAAACCCGTGGACTAAACTTTGAGACACACTCAGTTCAGAAGAGCTTCGCTGGAGTTTGGATTTACGGAGTACCCCCCTCCATCTCTTTTTTTTTTTTAAGGAATATTTTCATTTCCAATAGGGGAAAACCATAAAATGCGGTGATTGCTGGAAGTGATGGGCTAGCGATCAGTTGCCCTGAGGGTGGAGGCTGCCCTGGCAAGCCCTGAGGAAGCCTGTTTTCCCCGGCTGCCGGCCTTTGAGAGTCTAACTAGTGTCAGAGAACTGTGGGCTTGGTGTGGGTGGGCGGGCTTGGGGGACACTGAGTCAGCAGGCCTTTTACCTGGTGCGGCAGCAGCACCGAGGTGGCAGCTGGTGGTGGCGCTGACCTGCTCGAGGGCTCCAGGTAACTGTCAGAATTGCAGGATCTAAGAGGAAATGCATTTGTGAATGTGGATCAATATTGACACTTGCCCCTCATAGAGTGATACATTTTACACTTCCCTCAGCAGAGCGTGAGAGGTCGTCTATGAAACAGCTTCTCAAGAGGCATTGTTCATTATCTTAAACTACCACGATCTGTAAACATGAACCAGCAATGGAATGAGAAATCAAATTTGCAGCAATTTATTACTTCATTTTACTAAACAGTAGGAAGATGAAGACAGTGGCATTTCAAATTATTTTCATTACTTTCTTCTGGAAGTATTATGAGGCAAATGGCAATATAGTTCAATTTTTGGTATGCCAGACTCTAAGTTCTTGAAAAATATGCTAGAAAATGCCCTGATTGGAAGTGTTCTATGTGTAAAGTTAATGAAGAAGCCATGTTCATTAGACTAAAACATAAACTTCCAAATGTGAAACTACAAAACTTGAGACCTATGTGTGATGACTATCCCATCATTAAAGAACCCAGACTGAATGACATAAAAATGTACTATTTAATGTCAACATTTTTGTCCATCTGTTCACTATTTTATTTTTTTTTCAACAAATGTCATTTATTTATTTATTTGTTTGTTTGTTTATTTTAACTCCTTATTGTTGAAGGTGATATATATATATATATATATATATATATATATATATAACTTCCCCTCCCCACACCATTGACCTCTCCCATTCCTCCTATGCCCCGCCACCTTAGGCCTTCCACACTCTTGGTCACTATTTTATATCTCAGATCTAGCTGCTGAACTTGAACATTTTTTCCTTTAATCATTCTTTTTTATTTATAAATGAAGTTCAGTTTGTACTAATTTGGTTAAAATGTTACAATAGAACTATCACAGTAGATAATGTATTCAGCAAAATGAACATTTGTAACTGAAAAAAAAGAATGGAAACTATAGAGTGACCTGTGTTGGACTATTGTGTAAGGTGGAGAATGGCACCAAGAGGATGGTGAGGAAGATAATGGTCAGATTACATAGAAATTCATGGTCTATGGCAGAGTTTGTATTTCATTTTAAATGCAGTAGAAAGCCATTGAATGTTTTAAGCAGGGCAATGACAATCTGAATTAGCTTTAAAAAGTCACTCTGGCAGCTCTGGAGAATGCATTATGGGAACAGGAACGAAGGCAGAAAGACTGGTTAGTTGATAATTAGGAAACAATTGTGTTCAGATAAGAGATAATGGTGGTTTGGAATGGGGAGGTGATGAAATTTAGAGAACCAGCAGAGTTTACTGGTGGATTTCAATGTGGGTGCTGATGGTGGGGAAGGAATAAAAATCTTCGAACCACCCACCTCCCAGTCTCAAACATTTTTTCTCATACTCCCCCACTTTTTGCAAATTAATCATGTCACTCCCTGCTTGATGCTGTGAGCATGAAATCAAAGAATTGTATGTGTGGCTCTTTATAATATGTCCCCTACCTCCAATTCCTGTCACTTCCCAACCCACTCTGCCTAAAATGGTCTTCACTAACTTCTCTAAAAATTATATTTTCATATGTAACCACAAGGCCATTTTCAAACCCAACAAAATTAATCAATCCTTGGTATCTTAATAACTAGTTCATAATCAAATTTTCAGTTGTCTCAAAAAGAGTTCTTTTATAATTTTTTAACAAAATAGAATTTTGAAGACCTTGGCAAAAATCAATCAATCAATCAAAAAAGCAAAAAACTTTAAGAATCTGTATTTCTAAAAGTCTGCCTTCAATACAAAAACCTCTATGTTTTTGTCATAACTAATAGATTCTGGGAGAATATGTGATACTATAAAAGCTTGTTTGTTTGTTTGCTTTCCTCACTCCAAAGGAGATAGAGACAAAGTTTGAAGGAGAATTTTCACAGAGTATATCTGTAAGTGGGTCTTATGGAAAGGGTCTGGAATGCCAATACTTTGAGCCAAGAGTCAGTCAGTCACAAAGGAGGTATGATAGACAGTCTAAGTTTCTGGAGATCCCGTAAGAAAAGGAAGCGGTGTCTTATTTTTCAGAGAGTAGCCTCAATATTCTGCAGATCTTAGAAAGAGAGCCCTAGAGACCAGAAATGTGTTAGGGCAGTAAAGGAGTAAAGGCTAGTGAGATGGCCCTGTTAAGGGATCCAAGGGTAGCCTTCCAAAATCCTAAAAAAGTCCCCGTGAGCCTGCAGCCCTGTGAAGGCTGGAGGCTTTCAATAGTTCATGGTTCTAGTGAACAGAAGCAAGGAGGCTGGTGCCACAAAGTTGAAAAGAAGCCCCCTAAAGGGTAAGAAAAAGGAGAGTGAATTTGACTTGAAATCTTAAAAGGACTGACGTACCTGGAAGTGGCTATATTAAGTTTCCTCTCCTTAGGCAAATTAAAGGTTTAAGACAAATTAAGTTCAATAAATATAAAGTTCTATCTTTCCAAATGGAATCACTGATTGAAATTAATACATACTATATATCCATATACACATACATCTCAATAAATTTAGACCTAGATATTTATAGCAGATACCTCTACTCAGCTGAATTAGGGAATTTTTATTCTTTCTGCTTGTATGCATGTAAAATGATCTCTATATTGAACATGTAGTGCTTTTTGCTATAATAAAATAAAACATATAAATTGTAGTAAAGAAATTATGAAGATTTTTTCAACTTTGTTTTTAATTAATTTTAGACTAACAGAAAACTTGCAAAAGTCGTGTAAAAAGTTCCATCATTTTTTTACCCCAATTATTTTAACACCATTCATAATCACATTATAATTATATCAGGAAATTAATATTGGTATAACCTTATTTATGAACCACTTTAAAAAAAAATAATCAGCCCTAACCGGTTTGGCTCAGTGGATAGAGCGTCAGCCTGTGGACTGAAGGGTCCCAGGTTCGATTCCGGCCAAGGGCATGTACCTTGGTTGTGGGCACATCCCCAGTAGGAGGTGTGCAGGAGGCAGCTGACTGATGTTTCTCTCTCATCCATGTTTCTAACTCTCTATTCCTCTCTCTTCCTCTCTGTAAAAAATCAATAAAATATATTTTTTAAAAAAATAATAATCAGACCAGAACTTGGCTGGAGATCCTAACCAGAACTTTGCTGAAGATCCTGACCAGAACTTGGCTAGAGATCCTGGCTAGGCTGCTGATCAACTGAACGTTGTCTCTGTGTCATTCCTTCTTCGCCGACTCCGTCCACACCTTTGGGGACCCCTTGACCTGCTGGGGTTGGACCCCAGCACTCTACCGCTGAGCCATACCAGTTGGGGCTCTTTTTTAAAAAATATATTTTATTGATTTTTTTTTACAGAGAGGAAAGGAGAGGGATAGAGAGTTAGAAACATGGATGAGAGAGAAACATCGATCAACTGCCTCCTGCACACCTCCTACTGGGGATATGCCCACAACCAAGGTACATGCCCTTGACCGGAATCGAACCTGGGACCCTTGAGTCTGCAGGCCGACGCTCTATCCACTGAGCAAAACCGGTTAGGGCTCGTTTTTGTTTTGTTTTTTAATAAGAGAAAGTTCATTTAGGAAGTCACAGAGGTGGAAGAAGTGAGCAGTAGAAGAAATGGGCTCAGGAGGTGACAAGCCTGGTGGATGGGGGAGGGAGAAGGGGAAAGGCATGAGTGTACTCCTGGGAGGGAGAGCGCGCTGCTTTACTTATTTTTCTAACATTTACCTCTTTTTAAATTTCTTTTTTGCACTTATCTCCTTTTAATCCATTACATATTTTATATATTAGTTTTATGTATTGTCCTCTCTGCCCTCTAGACTGTAAGCTCCATAAAAGCAAGGATTTGGGTCTTTTTTGTTCCTGCAATATCCCAGGTATCAAGGCTAACCTAGAGAGCCTGGCACATTAAGTAAATGTTGAATGAATGAATGTAGAGTTGGGTGGATGCCCTTGTCCAGAGCC